AAAAGCCAGAGTAAATGGGTTTTGTGGGGTGAATAAAGCAGGATTTGTGGGGATAGAATCCACCCCAACCCACGGACAGGCTACAGAGATGAAATAGCTACTATAGGCTGTTCCTTTGCTACTGTTCCTTTGCATGTGGTGGTACCCAGCTATTGTGGCCACTGTTCCTTCTGACCTGACCCTGAAGTTCCACACCACGCTATCTGGGGCTGGCACAGCGTTCCTGTCTGACACTCGGAGTTCAGGAGGTGCTTAACCCTGTGTCCACTGAAGTTAATGGTAAAGCTGTCAATGGTGCAGAAGCTCCTTGGTGTTGCTGCTCTGCTTGCACCATCAGTGCTGCAAGGCGTGTGTAGTGCAGAGTCTGTTCAGGCCATGTACTGGGGGGAATTTCACCCTTGTTTAACAAAAATATGAGTATAGACAAAAACTGAATGGTTGCATTTCCAGGCCAGCTTAGCTAAGCTTTTTGCCTGGCCAGAACCACCCAACTTCAAGCTGTGTTGGCTCCCTTTTGGCAATAGAGAAGAGATGGCAGTCCTGGTGGATTTGCTCGTGTTAGAGGTCCTTGTGTCAGGACCTAGGCCCACAGTGGGAGTGAATGTGGCCTTTAGTGTTTCATGGATTTTAGAGTTGGAGGTGGTACAAAGCCTGGGTCTTCTCAGATAAAAATGTTTTGATGTCTCAGTCTGCGTTGTGAGGTTGAGTGCGATGGTGAGCACTTACTCATGAAAGTAGTTCCATTGACTTTAGTGGAGCAGCTTATGTGAGTGTGACACTCTCTGTACACCAGAGCAACACCCTGGCACCCCCATATTTGCCATGGTGATATTATAATATATTTTGTACAAAGTATGCCTGTGAGGTATCATTTTAAAAGTCTTGACCAGTTTACCATTGATATCCTGTGAAATTGTATGGGCTATCATTGTATGTGCAGTTATGAAGTTTTTCTGTGTGTGTGTTACTGAAATATGTTGTGAAGTTGGAAACATCCACAACCAGCCTTTCAGATACAACAGTGGAGAAGCCAGACAGCATTGATGGATCATTAAGGGAAATCCACATGAACAAGGACTATTACAGAATCTGTATACAGAGGGAGCATGTAGACAATGGATACTGCTTGACTCACATCATAGCAAAAGTTCTTTCCAGGAAGCTGGAAGAACCTATAAAGAAGGGGAAATGACATCATCATTTCACAACTCAGCTCCTGGAAACACATCTAGAGAACAAAGACTTTGAACTGGGGAGGTGCTCCCAGGCTGAAATGAGGAATCCCAGCCTGTGTATGAAGGAACTATACCATCAGGGTGAGATACTGCTTGATTCAAATCCTGTCTATTTTATAGAACTCAGATTGTGATTCTACTTTTATTTCTTAGGTGACCAACTTTGAGCTGTACACTTACTACTTATAATCCTTTAAAAATTATCTTTCTGTAGTTAATAAATCTGTTTGATATTTTACCTAAAACAATGGGTTTTGCTTGAAGTACTTGGGAAATCTGCTCAGGAACAAGGGATGGTGCATGTCCTTTTCACATTGAGGGAGGGGTGGACTGGATAATAAACTTGCACTGGTCTGTGGGGAATTGGCTGGAGCTTCTTTATTGTTGGTTCATGAGTGGCTGGCAAAAGCATTCGCGTAACCCAGTTGGATGTGTGTCCGCCTGTGGATGTCTGTACAAGTGCAGTACCTGGAGGGGTTTGCAGCTTGCCACAGCATCACAGTGTGAGAGGGAGCCCAGGTTGGTAAGACAGAGGGCTCAGCAGTACCGCAAGTTCAGGTTGCACCCTGGGGAACCCATCACAGTAAGTGCTAATCACTGTAAAAATGGCCTAAATGGAGCCAGTGAACAAGGATTTACAGTATCTAAAAAATCCACTTTTTGGATTCATTTACCAGAGTATCTTTCATTTTGTGCAAAATATTTATGCAAATTAATGCTGATTTGCAATGAGCTTTCACATATCATAACATGCTAAATGAGGTCATCACGAGTAACAATATTAACAATGAATACTGTGTCATTAAATTGATTAAACTGCTCAAAGCTCCATTGCTTTTTTCTGACACTTTTTGCTTGACCCATCCAGACCAGAGGAATTTCTGCTATATGGTACCCAATTATTAATTTTCTTCAATGACACCTTCAATTTTTTTTAAACAGCAAACGAAAAATGCCTCTTATTTCATGATGCACATTTTTTCCCCTCATTTATTCCTCCTCTACTAGGCCATTACTGCAGCACATTAGCAGGATGAATGACTGCCTCTACAGACTGTTAATGCTACTGTAGAGACTGCCTTGAAGAAGTCGATTGGCTTTGAGGCTTACACCTTATCCCAGAAAGAGATGCTTTGTCATACAGGCAGATTATTTACAGATCCCCAAGGGTCCTCCACAGAGAATCTCTGATTTTGCACCCTCTTCATCACGACTTTGGTTTGCAGTCACCGTCCTTCTGCTGAAAACAGCTGAGTGGGGTTCCCAAAAATGTCCTTCATTCCTACTCTTAGATCTACCAGGGTCTGAAGTGTTCTCTGTCCTCAGGTGCTGGGCAGTCTAAGAGCTCAGCAACACTCTCAGTCTAAGAACTCTTACATGGCAGCACAAGGCTTTCCAGCTGGCCTTCTTTTTTTAACCCCATAAATTTAATTTTCATTTGCAGAAAAGTTCTGTATGAAACAGTATTCTGAAGCAAACCAGGACAGCAAAAGCTCAGTCTTCTTCTCATTCTGTTCCAAAGGCTAATGGGGACAGGGCTAGCATAGAATAATTTAAATGGAACACATGCTAATGCTAATGTCTGGAGAAAACAATCCAAATGTGATTAGTCAATGGGAAGTTGAAACATGGAAAATAGTAAAGTTGAAAGAAACTTAGGAGTGACAGTGGACAGCAAATTAGACATGAGTTTGAATGTGTTACAGCAGCAAGAAAGGTAAATGCAGGTTTGGGTTGTATACACCAATGTGCCATGTCATGGAACTAGGAAGTAAGGGCACACAGATAGTATAGTGAAGAGCACAGTATAAGTACCTAGCTAGACAATAGTCCCTCCCTATATGCACTAATGCAACCCTACCTAGAATTTTGTGTTCAGTTTTGGGTGTTGGCTCATTGCTGGAAAGCTATTCACAACTAGAGGCTGGTTAGAGGGCTGGAACAACTGAGGACAAGAAAAGAGTTAAATATGTCTAACCTAGTTAAGCAGCAACTAGTGAGGGTAGGACAGAATGTGATTACAGTTCACAGCTGCTGTATCTGAAGGGGAAAACACTGAAGGGAGGAATTATTTATTTAATATGAACAATAACCAGGAATAATAGGATGAATGGGAAGCCTTAGACTGACTGTCAGGGAAAAGTTCTTGCTAGTGAGATCTTTTAGCTTGTTGAATAATTTCTCAAGGGCAGTGGCAGATGCTCCATTATTTGGCACATTTAAGACGAGGCTGGAGAAAACATAGCAGAGAGAATATTCATGCATTAGCAGGAGATAGATACTTTGTACCCTATAGACCGTTTCCATTTCTACGCTGTGATTTTTATGAAACTTCTAGGAGCCGATCATGCAAGATGTTGAGCACTTCTTGAGAGGTGCTGAGTGCCCTCAACTCCCAGTGAGGGAATGCAACCTCTGGTGGAATCAGACTCAGGGTTGGAGCAAATGAATGTGGTGGACTCACCTTTGTCATCAGTAAATGTGCATCCATGCCCCATCTAAAATTCAGTATGATTGGCAAATTTTATTCAAGAAAACCCTAGGTCTGACAGGAAAAAGGCAAGGATAGTTTTGTGGGTGAGGCACTGGACAGAAGGTCAAGAGACTTGAGTTCATAGCTCTACCACTTCCTGTGTGAACTTGGGCAAGTCACTTAAAGGATGATCCAAAATCCACTGAAGCCAATGAGAATGTTCCCATTGATTTCAATGGACAGTGGATCAGATCTTTAAGCTTTCTATGGGCCAATGCCCCATATGTAAAATGGGGGGCGGGGTGAGGGAGGGGTTTAACGGTAGTTCCCTACCTTACTGGGATGTTGTGAGGATTAATTAATGTTTGCTAGATGTGAGAGCTAGTAATGGTGACAGATAGGTATATGGGGATCTATCTGGGCAGAACTGCAGGTCAGGAGTGAGTTGCATTCCAAGAGCTATTTAGGAAAGCGTGTGCATGGCCTGCACGATGACTAACATTGATTATTACAGTGTAGCCCTCACTTCCATTAGCTTTAAACTCATATTATAAAACTGTTAAAATAATGGGTATTTGAAGGTTTGTTTAATAGCTTTTTTTTTTTAAAAAGTGTTCCACATTTATGGAATTCTGTTACACAATATAGAGTATGCAGGTAATTTTTAATAACATCCAGGAATGGATAAATAAACTTCTTTATTCTTTAACTGTTTAGTAGTATTTTCTTGCAAAATTAAAGTTTAATATGATGTTATAACATCCTGTAAACCATGCCCATGAAATTTAATTTTTTGCCTGCCATGTGAAAAATGTGACCCCCCCCCCTCCAATTTACTAATACATAAAACAAGGAAGTGAAGTCCCATCTGTATAATGATCTATTTTTGGTGGACCATGCATGATAAAATCCCAGCCTTGATCTCTTAAACTATCAAGTCTGCCATAAATATTTGATGATCAACAAGCCCATAAAAAGAAAATGCAGAATATGAATAGAGGGAGAGCAAATATGTAATTCAATTTTTAATTACCAGTGTCTCGTGCTAAAGTCAAGTTCATCTTCCATAAGAGGTAGAAAATAACCTACAATTTCCTCTCTTATTGTAAGCTTCTTTAAACAATCAGCATCACATCTCAGATTAGAGCTTTAGCGGGGAGAGAAATCATCACCGAAACAAAAGAACAGGACACAGAGACTAAGGTAGAACAGTCTAGTTTTATTACCTTATGCAATCAAGAGCTTTTTTCCTTTCCTTTTCTTTTTTTCCTTTTTTTCCCCGTTCTTTCTGGTTTTTTTTTTTTTTTTTTACAACGTACATTAAGTTGTGAATCAGATGTTAGGGGCATGTGGAGATGAAGGAAAGTCAGTGATATCACAATATTTTACAACTTTACAACAAATGAGAGTCTGAATTTGTTGCATCTACCAGTGTATATCAAGGGTGGAAAGCAAAGGCACACTTAGGTTTATGTACCCCTCCAAGTGAGGGGTGCAGGGAGATTGGGGTGAGGGAGGATTAAAACAAAAGACCCACTGAGTACAAAATGAGCATTTCAAGGTCAACCCAGTAACTGATGTGATGAATATTACAAAGGCATATCTCTGTACGAGGCTGTTGCAGTGATTATTCATTTCTACATGATGTCAGAATGCTTTGCTTAATAATAGCAATGGGCACTGCACATTTGGTACTCGAGGGATTGGAGTTTGGGGGGGGAAAGGTTGCAAGTTGCTGCTGCTGCTACTTTTTTGTTTTTTGAAAGAAAAAAAGACTTTCCTGCTACATACTGTTCTGAAGGGTTTAATTAAAAAAAGCATTGCTTTGGATACAATCTATCTACAGCAGTCTGCATAGTTCACTAATGGTGAACAAGTCAGTTTCATAAAAGAAGCAATGATGGAATGAAAGAACATGCAAGCACCCTTGTTACACACTTTGGTCTAGATCATCCAGACTTTCTAAATACCATCTACACGCTAGCTGACTTGAACTCTTTCTTTTTGATTGTTCGGAAACAAAACCAAAACCCTGCAAAACAAATTAGGTATAAAATTTAAAAAACAATCAAAACAACCTCCCCTCCCCAAATATACTGCCCAGTAAAAAACAAAAATGGCCCTCCCTTATTTTCTATAGTATGTTGACACAGTTATTATAACAGATTAAAAACAAATCTACCTTTGTGCATGAATAACTGAAAAATTGTAAAAGACCTTATACGTGGGCACGTGCACACTCAGGCCACATGCAAAGTCACATGAAAGGAAAAAATGAAAATCAAAATTAATTCCCCCAAAAGGTTTTTTGCAGCATTGTTCTGGATGGCCTTATTCAGTTACAGCAGGAACCAGCCTGCCTCATCCTACTTCCATTTCACTTCATTTTGTATACTGTGCATGCACACGGCACCATGTGTCATTGAGGCTTGCTTCCAGTGGCTGGCCAGTCACACACAGTGCTTGTCTCTATCTAGTGGACAAACCAGACTTGGAGACCGTACATTACTCATTTCTCTGCTGGCTAATGAGAATATCACCATACTGAAATGATATGAAAGTATAAGGGCGAGGAAATTGCCAACCACAATACGGTGTCTATGCTGCCAGCATAGCCTAGGGGTGGTTTGAGGGCAGAATTGGCACAACTAGAAAGTCAAACTGAATTGGAGGGTATAGTACTACTCTAATTTCTTGATGGATATGGTGTTATTACAATAACCACTACATTCTTCTTTGAACTTCTTTACTCCAATTCTCCAGGGGGCTTAGGAGAGGGAAGGTAAATAAATATTTGCATTTATTCAAAGGGCGGGGAGGGGAAGGTTTTACATACTACAGCTCACAAATATACACAACTGAGGGTGTAAGGCACAAATTTACATGTGGAAGAAAACAGGCTATTCACAGATGTATTCCCAAGAAAAACCCGTGTGATAAGACCATAATTTATGCATGGTAACAGCCGGCATATTAATTAGTTCACACTGTTTGTGGATTTTGTTTGCCGTCTCACATGCAAGGTGAAATGAGATGGCACATCACAAGCTGGTGCCTTCACAGAAAGTATTAATGACTGACAAAGCCATGTTGACAGCAATGGTGCACAAATGTGCAGTTTTTAAAGAGTTTCTTTTGCAGTTGCTTTAGGAGTTATAAATTTGGGGGATTTTGTTTGTTTGTTTGTTGCCTGTCATAGATCAGAGGCCCAGCAAGCAAATTAACTAACAGATTTAAATAAATATTCCCCTTTTTTCAGCTAGAGATCAAACAGTCCAAACACAAAGTTCAGAATTCCAGCTCCAACTTATTTAACTCAGTGAATTTATTGGAAAAATAAAAGAGTTTTAATTACTCCAGTTAATGGGTTTCACGTTAAATAGGTATAATTTTCAATGTATTTTTTCTGAAGAGCTGCTCATAGGATGATATGCAGAAGTCATTTCCTTAGGAAAAACAAAAGACGAACAATAAATAATAGGAGTTATTTGCGTTAACAGTCACATGTTATTCATTAAAAGAAGAGTAGCAGAAATCTATGACATAGTTTTGCCCAACGTGGCATTTATCTGCTATAACCAAACGGCTGTAACACTGATGGGCATTTCACAGTACCTGCACATAGTAAACTTCTGCCATTGTTAAGTCAGAGTTAGCTTTATCAATGAATTTTTTATTTTGTATTTATTTTATTTTTTTAAGTTCTTTTATTTGCTTTGCTTTTCAGAGCACTCTTTCCCAGTTCAGGAATGCACTGTGCAATTGGGGGTGAAATGTCACAGTCATCATTCACCTGTGTGCTTTTGGCTCAATGTTTGTGATGTTAAGTTAGTGTTTTGAGTAAAGAACTGTCAGGTAGTGGGGGTGAGTCCTGCAGTTTGAAACCTTCACCACAGATCAGATGGCTCGGTTTAAAAAATATTCCACTTTTCCCAGAGAGCAGGATCAACACATCCTCAGCTTAACAACAGCCTTCTTGTCAATTGGAACTAGTGATGCAGTTGCAGAACACTGGCTTTAAAGGGCAAACTCTGTTTCATTGCTGTCCCCCCACCCCACTGTGATTATGTACACGCATCATTGGGCTTCATGGATGTTGAAAGTGGAGTAAAGGAAGGTTTGGGGGGTACATCTGGTTTTAGCGAAGGTGTACGTTTCAACCCGGGCCTTGTCAGCGAGTTGTATGCGGTGAGACTAGGCTGCCTAGAGACAGTCACAGCCTGTGCCTGAGCAGCATGGACTTGTATGGAGTCCACTCTCTGGGGGGCAGGGGGAGGGTTGTCTCCCCTGCCGAAGCTCTGATTTCGAGAGAGGTGGGAGGAATTAGAGGAGTTAGTATTGTTTCTTTTGAGAGTTGATGTCTGATGATTTCTCGTGAGTGAGTTCGTAGGGTAGTTTCTCTTGTAGTCCACATTATAAGCAGAGGAATGCATTTCTAATCGCTTGCCCAGACCACTCTGAGCCAGAGAGGAGCCAGGAGGACCCAACGAGGCTTCCCGCTGGGGTACTTTTGGTGGCATGCTATCCAGATTTTCCACCAGATTAACCCCATGGTTGGGACTTTTGCTGCTGAGATGCTCCTTTATGGTTTTGTACTCGAGCGTGGCATTCTGGTCCTCCATGGCCATCTGTGCCATGTCGCTCATTTTTGGCTGATCAACATACTCATGCTGATAGCCTTGCTGAGAGATTGGCAAGACTACAACACTTGGGATGTGGCCGGGAGAAGCCCTGAGAGGCAGGTCAGTTGGAATCACAGGCGATGACATTGCGGGGATATCTTTTGTGCAGGCGTTGATAAGGTTCTGGTTTCTTTCCCATTCCCTGCTGCCACGGCTAGGCTTCCTCTTCTGTTGCAGGGTTGGGGTGGACTCAGGGGTTGGCAGAGCAGCCAAGTCCAGATGGTGCTGGTCAGCTTTGATTAACATTTTGGCAGTGCTGCCCGGGGTAGTGAGTTTGCCATTGTGCATCAAAGGTGTGAGGATAGCTTCTGGTTTTGGCTCCTTGGACTGTGTGTCTCCAAAGAGACCGCTGAGCTTGGTAACACTACTCATGGAGCCGCGGCGGGAGTGGGCCAGCTCCTTCTCCTTCCTCTGGACAACGGCCACGTCTCTGCGGCGATGGTCACAGATGCAGTAAACGATGATTCCCGAGAAGACGGCCCCCATGACAAAAGCAAGAATGACTGCAATGGCCAGGAGGGTGACCGGCACCAGCTGATCATGGCCTTTGAGATAGCTCTCACGAATCACTCCTGCAACAAACATCATACAATGGTAAGCAAAAATCTAACAGGAAAAGCTTCTTAATGTATCTATTCCATTCAAAGGCATTAACTGGGGATTTTATTTGTCCTCAGCTTTTCATTAACTATCCCAAGTTCACATCCATACTGTACCTGCTGGCTGGAACTCACTTTGAGCAAAGTTGAACTCAAGCTGTTGAATTAAGATCCAGGCTTGAACAACTTGGAGCCCGGGGGGAGTGTTCAGGGTTCATTCTTTATAAAGACAGGGCCCATTTGCAGAATTTGGATGTGTATCAGAGATCAGCTTTCAAAATACCCCCGAAATTCCAGGGTATTTAGATCAGGAAGTGAAATCCTGGCCCTACTGAAGTCAATTGCAAAATTCCCATTGACTTTAGCAGGGCTGGGATTTCACCCAGGGTTTTTAGTTAGGACTGTCTCTCAGGCTGAGAAATAGCATATATTTCTTCACCCATTCCTCAACCCCATCTCTCCTCCCACCTAATGTTATCTCACATTTTATTTCTGTAAATCACTGACACTGAAAAAGCTGAGGAATCAGAAGCTTTATGTATGTTACATAAATGAATCTCACATCCTTTCAAGTTTTCTCCCCTGCTATTTATTTGTTGTCTCTGTCACAAGGTTTGGAAGCTGGTGTCATATGTTTGGGCTGCAGCAGGGATGTTATAGAGTATTTATATCCTGAGTAACTATGAGAGAGAGAGCCCAACACTGAAATACATTGAGACAGAACAGGTTTAAAAATACCCTCCAGATTTCAAGTGTCACTGCTAATTTTTTTTGTAAATCTCTCCTGTTCTAGATAGGTAAATATGCTGGATTCTCTTTGCTGCTTTGGCTAAAAGCACACACAGTGAGAAGCCTATTTGGTGGCATTGCACTGTGCTTAGAGATGTTGTCAGGTCTTATTATTGCTCCTAAGGCTTGCTGTCATAGTAGGCTTCTTCAGTAGAGTTAATATCCTCAACTTAATAAAAATGATGTGAATGCACCAGTCAATAATCCTACAGAACATTAACCAAGATATTGCACATATAAAGAACATTGCTTTTCCTTTCCCTACTTAGTTGTGCACCAAGCCAGCACACGCTAATCAAATGCAGGTGCGGAGCCTGTTGGGTTCTTTTAATGCTAAGTGAGAAGGAGTCGCAACTGTCAGATCCTAAGTGCCTGACAAAGTAGTTTAAAAAACCACAACTCCAAATACCCCATTCCCTTCTCTGGAGAGCGTGCAAATGCAAGTGCATTAAAAGCATACTCTGAGGAAATGTAAACAATGTTCTTATTATGAGAGAGATAGTGAGAGAGAAAATGTACCTCGAAGGCCTCACAAGACTTTGTGAAGATACCAGTCTTTCATGTCATAAATCAATGGTTTCAGGAATCCTGTCTTTTATGTATTTGGTAGGCAGATAGCTGTGGCCCAGAATTAGAACCAAGTGCAAAAAACCCCAGCAAACTTTTTCAAAATAACACTGAAATGCTGCTGTTGCCTCATGGAAAGCATTGATAAGCATTCTGTCTAGATTCAATTCTACTTCTATAGCATACTTGTCCCCATTTCAATTAGTGTGTGTAAGTGGACAAATGATATTTGCATACAAACCAGGAATTTTAAAAGCTGAACTGTTCTTGAAATCATAATCTCCTGCTTGTGACATCACAGTTGGTTGCCATGGAAATTAATTGTGTTGAGACAGAGGATTGTGATTTCAAGTGGAGAACAAAATAGCAGGAGCAGTTGATCCCTTAAGAAACAGAGATCCTGAGAGTTACATGAATTCATGTAAATATCCTTTATAATAAAAGAACAAGGTAAGTAAAATAACTCCCAAAGGGAAAACAATGTGTAAGTAGAAACAATCTTCAAATTAAATGCTTTTCAGACTCTTCCAAGAAGCCCCGGAAGCTTTTTAAGGGCCAGATTTTGCCACCCTTTTACCACAAGCAATACTTAATGTGAATATATATGGTAGAATCTGGTCTTATAGTTGAGCTTAGACCAACAATGGCATTAAAGTTCACAGTTAAAGTTTCAGCCAAAATGCAAATCTTTTTGTGCCTTACTGACAGGAAGCATGGTCTAGTGATTAAGGCATGGGATGTGAAATGAGGACACCTGGATTCTATTCCTTGCTCTGCTACACTCTTCCTGTTGTGACCCTGGAGAAGTCACTTAAGCTCTCTGGGCCTCAGTTTCCTCAACTGTACAACGGGTATTTACTTACCCCAGAAGGGTGTTTCAGACCAAATTCATTTATATTTGTAAAGTGCATTGACATCCTCAGAGGGACACTCAGAAATGGAAAGCATTTTAAATGCAAAATATTACTTTGGTGTTGCAAGGATGGTCAGAAATGAGTTAGGTCATATCCACATACATACTGTTAGGCACAATGGGCTGAGCTAAGACCAGCTTCAGCCCTCAGGATCCAATTTCACAGGTGCCTCATGTAGATCAGACCACTGGAACTTAGTGCACAAAGCAGCTACAGAACTGGGCCCATAATTTACATTTCCTTGCTTTTGTCAGCTAAAGTTAAAACTTTGATATTGATTTACTTGGCTTCTTCTTTCACCTGAGTTTGCTCAAAAATATTTTTAAAAGAGGATAAGAAAATGGAATAAACAGATTAAATAAAAATGAAACAATTATGTTTCAAATTCTTCCATTCATCTAACAGTTTTGCTGCTGTTTGGCTTGGTAGCACCTCTGAATACTGTGTGATATAGTGAGCCCTTGCTATTGTATCCAAAAACTGTATGGGACCTTGCTATCACTATCATATTACAAATGGATTCTGAATCATTACAACTTACATTACAAAACCACACCACAATTTGGAATGAGTGGCCACGTGTGCTCCAGAGAGCTGTGTGGAATAGTAATGGTGCTAGAGGTCAGAGTTTTTCTTCACTGGCACAATTTCATGAGGCAGCTTGACTTGAGCCAGTGCCATTTGAGTCTCACTTTCATGAGTTCTAAATTCTGCCCAAACCTTCATAAACTCTAAAAGAGAGCTTTGTCATAACAGAGCCCAAGGTCAGTTTCTGTGGCTTTGCTCTAAGTGTGTGGATCTTTTGGATACAATGTTGTGTTAATAAAATGGGTTATTTTGATCACAGGTCAAATCCAACTGGCCTTACTTACTTGAGTAATCCCAACAACTTTAGCTTTAATCATATGATTTAAGGTGGGCAGGATTTGACCACAAATTAATGAAGTTCAGGGCACAGATAAAGTAAAATAAACTAAAACGTAGTGGCTATGAGTGTTTTGCATTCTAGTATTAGGAGGGAACACCACCAAAACCTTATCTGAAACAAGGGGATGATCTCAATCCATTACCAATGCACATCCCAAATATTCAACACCATTAGTAGCAGTCCCCAAGAGACTGGGGCAGAGTGGATGGGTCTAAACCGGGGGTTGGCAATCTTTCAGAAGTGGTGTGCCGAGTCTTCATTTATTCTCTC